TTCGAGTTGTGTTTTGTTATAAAATTTGGAAATGTTATATGGATTTACTTTTGAACGAACAAACAGTCAAAAAAAAATGCATCGCTGAAATATTACATTTTTGTAAATTGTCCAAAAATAGTATCGGTATTCCTTTTTGGAGATATTTATTTGCACATGTCAATACGTAACGTGTAAAATCACGTGATGCAAAACATACGTATAACAGCCACTTTATATCGATATGGTTCTTTTAAAGATTCCTCGTTACTTCTCATGAGTCTTTTGATGAAAAATATACGGTGTTGGATATGAAATCTGGCTTTTATTATTTTTTAATTTTAATGTTTATCGTTATTAATCTACAGTATTTTTTATTCCAATGGAGATTTCAATATCAGTTGTATAAAAAATTGCCATTTCACAATTCCAATAATTTTGGTGTAATTTTTTCGCTAACTGCATCATGAGATTGTAAAGTCAATGCTGCTGCTTTCTGTGCAATATTAACAAGATCATCGATAGTTTTGTCACCGTAATAAGAAAGTCCTGCAACTAATGCGCCAACAAAACTACGCATTATGAATAGACGTAACAACCGCATTAATATAAAATTTTTTATAATTCACAATAAAAAGCCAAGCAAAATAGTACCTATCTCCAGCACCAGTCACATTAACCACCACCTCATTCCCAATAACAGTTGGTTCAAAATAACGAAACCGTATCGCGCCATTTTCTCGAGCTCTCTTTGGCACAATTATCTCAAAATTATTGCCGTAGAATTTCGATTCATCCCTGACCGATGGAGGTTCGGCAAGAGATTGTACTAGTAGTACTCCTTGGTTGCCTAATGTTACTATAATGTTTGGGATATAAGGAAGTAGGTGTATAGATTGTACTAATATGCCTTTCTCGGTAAGAAAGGATAACTTTGCGTTGCTTTTTCTTATCACTTTTTCAACATCTATTAGGAATGGAATACCGTTAGCTTCTTACTTTATGCAACAAAAACATTACAGAATAAATTGACATTCTACCTTGTCTATACTGCTGTCCAATATTAAACTCGTCAATCTTTGAAAACCATTCATGAAAAGTATAATCAAATAACCCGCACGATTCAGCTTCATTGTACAATGCGGCAAGTTCAAACTCGTTTGGCGAAATGTAGTGTATTTTGTTCGTGGACAAGAATGAGCGAAAATGCATCAAAATTTTTTTTGATTTCGGAATGGAAGTAGGTTCAAAAAAAACTAATGAAAATATATTTTGTTTAGAAATTTTCGTAGTATTGATAACAAATAGATGAATCAGAGGGATAAGGTACCTGGAATCTGTAAATTTTCGCATGTTTCTATTATAGATTCTATACATGCTGTTGAAATGTTACCATCGAAACAAACCAAATTCGGTTTATTTTTCTTTATTGCTTCTGAGATCTTTGGCAAAATGGTTAGTATTATCTAACTAATAATAAGGAATGAATGTAATGAAAAAATATACAAACCCAATCACCTGAAATATTATCAAAATCCATATCCGCCACTGCACATAACAATTCACCGTCTGGCTTATGAACGGCATTATACACACCCGTCGGTTTTTCATCCAAAATTTGTAAACCAGCAGTTGTCTAAAATTTATCGCGTATTAAAATGAGCTAAATTATATGCAGGAAAGCCAAGAAAATTTCACACCATTCCAATTTCTTTCATTTCATTTAACAACCAAGTTCCAGGTATATCTCGTCCAATCGACGAAATAAAAAGCGGATTAATGCCTATTCTAAAAGCTGCTTCCGCAATATTTCGTCCTACTCCACCTATAGAGTGTCGTATTTTTCCGGGACTAGATGTGCGGAAATAGTCTTTAGCCTTTGGGTTTAGTGTTGATGTGATGTCTACCGCTGCGCCGCCTATTATTACTAGCTTGTTTTGTTGTGTTGTTTGTTCTTGTTTCATGTTGTTTATTGGATGCTACGAATAAAAATAATGAAATAAGACTCACTATCTATCTTGAATAAAAACAAAATTCGCGTGACCAACCGTATCATCATCAATATGATTTCCACTATTATCGTACGAACCAAAAGTCTCGGCAAGACACTTTGCAATTTGGCTTCCTATCTTTGCATTATTTTTGACCAACGCAATATCTTCAAGAAGAAATTATTAAAAAATAAGACAAATTAGAAATAAGAATATATTTAGGTTTAAAAAAGAATGCTTACTAGCTTTTAACGAAGCCCCTTGTGTTTGCTCGTTCACTCGCTTAAGCAGGAACGGAGTAACTTCTTTTCCTGAGATTCCTAAGTTTCTAAAATACCAATATTAATAAACCATAAATTAATTATAAATTAATTTCTATCTACCTCGCCTCCAACAATGCACTCTCAATCGCCACTTGTATACACCCAGCATCCGCGGCATCTTTCTCGGGAATAGGGACCGCTATAACCAGACCGCTTTGTAGATTGAGCAGTGAATTGAAGTCTGGTTTTTCGTGTCGATAAATTAGCATATAAATAAATAGATCCAAACAAAAATATATTATTATAACTTACGAATTAATGATGCGCATTCTTCGATGGTTTTTAAATTTGATGGGCTCTAATATCATTTGCATCATTCAATATGTTGTCTGATTCAATATCGGCTATCATTATAGAAACACATACTTTGAACCCACTTTTTCGCGTAAAGAAAGCAGGAAACTCGAAAGCATCATCACCATTACTATTTCTATTATCAACAAAAGTGGAAACGAGAACCCCTTGCGTTTCCTAAAAACGACAAATACAATTAATTTATGAATTCAATAAAATTGATAAGAAAATTATCTATTTTACAAAGACGATAAAAGAAAGACAAATTCACCAGATATTCCAACGTCTTCTCAATATCCAAAATTGATTTGACACCAGCACATACGACTGCTACGGGAGTTTTGCCTAATTCTGTCAAATCTGCACTTATATCCATTGCTAATAGAAAATCAAATAATGTCCCATGAAATGTAAATATGTAACTATCAGAAAATGAACAGTAAATATATCAAGTACTTGTCTCCGCATCCCAATGAACTCCACCAATTCCTAAAAAATAATTTTGATGAATAATGTTATGTAAAAAATTAGGCGTATTTCTCAAACACAAAAACAAACCTCCAGTCACAAAAACTTTTATCCCTGCCATATGAGCAATAACCATAGTTCCGGCGACTGTAGTAGCGCCCATAAGTCCCTTTTCAAAAAAAAAAATCATTATCATTCCACGAAAGCAATAAAATACAATAATTTATTTACATATACTATGAAGGTTTGTCAACCTACTTGCGAGACAGCAAGTGCAAGATCGCGATGTGAACATTTTTTTGCGGATTTTCCAATTTTTGCTAGTTTTTCTATATCTTTATGTTCTAGCCCTGAATTCCATTATATTTATTAAAATAATTAACGATTCCAAATCACATAATAAGTCTTTTCTAAGCTAGTGAATTCAAAATAGTAAAATACACACCTACATGAATTCGTCCATTCAGAATTGCAATAGTGGCAGGAACACTTCCATTTTGACGTACAATATTCTCAACTTCCAAAGCAGTCTCTAGATTCTGCGGATATGGCATTCCTAAGTAAAAAAAATCGTCAACATATCTTAAAATCATTACAAAAAACAAAAAAACATACCATGACATATAATTGTCGACTCGAGAGCAACAATAGGCTTCTGCGTCATCAAAGCATCGTTAATTTCTTTATTGAAAATTAGTTTAAATTTCTCGTCTATTATTTTACTAGTGCTACTATTATTAAATTTCCGAGTATTATTTACAGTTCTTTGTAGGTGCTGAACAAAGTTTTGTTAATAGTATTAGTAAATGTATCCAGAAATAAATAGTTTATTTATTACATTTTTTGCAATTATTTTTTTACCACTTACGAAACTTGACAAAATTCGTTTAATTCCAAGACGATAATAATTATTTTTTAAAAGTGTTAAAGAAGAAACAGTGTACATGGTTAGGATAAAAAATATAGCGATCGAGCAAATTCTAAAGTTGTAACCGTAAAGTTTTGATTAAGGCACGATCGCTAAACCTTTTGCAAGGGACAATTTATCGTCATGCATGTACGTATTCATGTAATTCAATATTATACATATCTTGCGTAACATAATATGATATTGAAAAAATATTTGTTATTCGAGTCATTCAATAATAACAATATGGTGCATAACATCTAAAGTCATATTTTATAAATGTATAAAATAAACTTTTGAACTAAAATTTAATCCGTGAACATAATCAAAAAGAATTATATTATATTCATAGATTAATTTCTTAATTGAGAAGCATACATTTTATAAAAAACAAACGTTTGATATCTTTAGATGTTATACATCATAATATTTATATTTGAAATTGAAATATTTAGCATATAAACATTTTTTTTAATTAATTTAGAATATTTAATAAAAAATTGATTTCGAATAACAACAATAATAAAGTTTAATAAATTACTAGAAATTACCAGAAATCCAAAAAATAATAAAACATAATAAAATTCAAAATTTTCTCTTCATAATAATATTTTTGTCTTTATTAAAAGATATATTTCGTTTTTACTTCAAAATAATTCAAATTTAATTTCAAGAAATATTTCTAAATATAAATTAATCAGAAATGTTTCTTGAAATAAAATTTACAAAAATATATACAGAGGCAATCAAAAATAATGCAATAACATCAAAATTTATTAATTAAACATAATAAAATACAGATTTTTCACTTTATATAAAAGTTTTCAATTTTACTAATAAATATTTTTTTATTTTTATATTAAAATAAAAATAAAAAATATTTATTAGAAAATTGAAAACTTTTATATAAAGTAAAAAATCTGTATTTTATTATGTTTAATTAATAAATTTTGATGTTATTGCATTATTTCTAATTGTCACTATATAATATACAAATTATTAGTATTATTTTAATATTAAAACAAAAACTATTTATTAATAAAAATATTTTTATAAAATAAGAATAACTAATTTTTAAATAATAATAATTGTGAAATTTAAAATCAAATTTTATTATAATTTATAATTTAATCAAATAAATAATATATTTATAATAATTGTTATCTATAATTATTATATTTTAATTATTTGAGTTAGAATTAGATAATTTTGAATATGTAATTAATTAATATTAAAGTTATTATATATAATAATTAGATTAATACTTATACAAAAATATAATAATTTATATTTTAATATATTTTTTTTGGATTTTATAAATTTTATTTAAGCAATTTTTTTTAATTATAAAGTAAGTAATTAATTTTTATATATTTTAATTATAATAAATTTTAATATTATTTTATTATTTTAAATGTTATAATAAAATTAAAAACTATATATAAAAAAATACTTGAATTTTATTACATATAGTTTAATAAATTGATATTATTATATTAATTTTATAAAAAATAATAATTCATTTTTAAAAATTTTTAGAATTCAAAAAATTTTCCAAAAAATTTAATTTGATAAAATCTAATAAAATATTAATATTAAATTTTAGTAATTTTTATTAACTTAAATATTTTTAAAATAATAATATTAATTTGAAATAAGTTTAATATTAGTTTTATTAGATTTTTTTCAAATTAAATATTATTATTTTAAAAATATTTTGAATATATAAGTTAATAAAAGCTAATTAAAATTTAATATTGATTTTTATCCAATTAAATACAAAAATAGTTTAAAATATTTAGTTTTTATTAAATTAAATATAAAAATAATTTGTAATATCTAAAATACTAAATATATTTTTAATATTATATTAATTATCAAATTTAATTTTATTAAATCAAATATAAAAAATAGTTTTAATTTTTTGTTCAGAATATTAATTTTTATTAATTTTATTAAATTAAATATAAAAAATAATCTGATTTTCTTGAGTTAAATAAAAATAGATTTTTTAGATTAAATATAAAAATATTTAAATATATATATATATAAAATTAAATATAAAAATATTTAAATATATATATATATATATATAAATTAGATATAACTTTTTTTATTATTATAGTTATATTAATATATTTTAATTAATAATTAAATAAATATATTAATTATTAAAACAATTAAATTAATATTAAAATTATTTTTAATTAAATTAATAAATATTTTTTATTTTTATATTAAACAAAACTTATAAATTATAGTATAATATATATTTTTTTGAATTTTTCAAATTTTTTTTAACAAAGTTAGTTTAATTATAAAGTTATTGCAAAAATTTTTATAATTAATTTTACATTTTATTTATAAAAAATTTTTGCAATTAGAATAATATTATTAGAAAAAATCTAAAAAATCCAAAAAAATATATATTATATTATAACTTATAATCTTTATTTTATTATAAAAATAAAAAATATTTAAAACTTTATATTTAGATAAAAATTTCAATTTTTACTATATTTTATTAATAAATTTTTATATATAATTTCATAATTCTATTAATTACTATATATAAATTAATATAATTTTAATAAAATCTTTATAAATTAACTTATTAAAATTTATTAATTTTGATTATTAATATTAATATTAATCTTAAATATATATTTTAGTTTATTTAATATTCAAAATACTTATTAATTAATAACTTATATTATAACTAAATTTAGTTATTTTGATATAATATTATTTATTTTTATTTATAATTATATCTAAATATTCAATTTATTAATCAATAATTAAGCAAATCAAATATATAATTGAAACAATTAAAAATATATGTCATATATATTTGGCTATTTATTATTATTATATATTAAATATATCATTTTCTTTTAGTAATATGTCAATTTGATATCAAATTATTATAAAAATAGCATTTTAAAAAAATTATATATAATATTCACCAGAAAATTATCAAAAAATTTTAATTTTAATTATAAATATATTTATTGATATTATAAAAAATAAAAATATTTGAACTCAAACAAATTTATTTTTATTTTAAATATAATAATTATTTTAGCAAATTAAATTATAATTAACTACAACCAAAATTTTGATAATTTACAATAATGATAATGTTAAATTTTATAATATAATTAATTTTCTTTTTAAAAAACTGAATATGGTGCATAAAATCTTTAGTTATCAAACGTTTGTATTTTAAAAAATGGATAAACTTTTTTAATAAGAAGTAAATACAAAATTTAATTCGTGAATATAATCAGAAAGAACCTATTTTATCATATTTATGGATTAAATTTTTTATTTACTTATTAGTATTTTATACATTTTATAAAATACAAACGTTTGATGACTTTAGATGTAGTTTACCCAATAATTGTTTTATATTATGATTCCAGTGATAACACATGCTTTCTTTTAAAATGACAAATAATTATTACATTAATTGCATTAACTGCATTAATAATTTGTTTTAGCTGTGCCATCAAGAATATCGATAAAAAAACTAAAGCAACCACAATTCCAAAAAAAATGGGTTTTTTGTTCATATTCAACGCACTCACCATATTTATAAATCTATTTAAATTTTATAGCTTCGTCATTGAAAACACAATTGCCTAAAATGTAAAAAAAATTTGATTTGCTAATCTATTCTCAACAATTTTTGTTTCAATTTCAAATCAATGTAGAGACAAAATTTTCAAAATTTGACTGGTAACTTTATAGAGCTTATCATAAAGAACAAAGTTACCGGTCAATTTTGTTTCTACATTGAGTTGAAAGATTTTAAAAATTGAAACAAATTGTTGAGTATAGATTACTTGAACCATATTTCTTTTAACCTTTTTTGTCATATAGTGGCGCTCAAAAGTAATGCATCACAGAAACGAAAAAATAAAAAGTCAATTTTTAATAATATAAACGCTACAGACGTATGAAATTCAACACATATCGATAGTTAAAAGCCTAGATAAACTGCTCACGTAATTTAATAAAACCAGCGATGCATTTCTTTTGATCGTTCCCCCACACACACCCTATATATATAAAATATACTCTTTTATCCCATACCATTCAAATTATCATGGCACATATTCCCATCGAAAAAGAGCCTAAATTTATACCTTTCTTCAGGAAGGATATTCCTCTCGTTTTATTGCAAACCGTGAAAATATTTCCTAATCTACCGTCATAAAAAAAAAAGATACTCATGATACCTTTAAAGATTTACCAAACCAGGTCGTCCTAGAATTTTTACTGGTCGCGACGAACGAAATATCATACGTCTAATTTCGAATGGTGATTGTTCTACTGCAGCTTCCACCCCCCCAAAAAAAACTAAAATTTGAAGACAAAATCGAAGTCAGCGCAAGCACAACAAGCACAGTAAAGCGAACTTTATATCGTAATGGTCTTTCTTCGCAAATTAAGCGAAAGAAACCATATCTTAAGAGAACACATCGAATTCAACGTTTGAATTTCGCAAAAAAACCTCAACAGTAGACAACTGATGACTGGAGCAAAGTTATCTGGTCCGACAATCAAAATTAATTCGGATGGACGTGAATGCTACTGGAAACGTGATAATGAACCACTAAAAGAGCACCATGTGAAACCTACAGTAAAATTTGGGGTAGGAATATAAATAATGGTTTGGGTTGCTTTTCATCCTTTGGCGTTGGCAATATCGTGCGCATTTATGGTCTTATGGATAAGGAATTTTACCGTGAAATCTTAAATGATGATCTTTAGGAACAATAAGAATGATATTGTCAAAACACACGGCAAACTCTACATATGAATGGTTTGATGATGATAATGAAATTCGTATACTTGATTGGCCTCCCCAATCACCCGATCTTAACCCAATCGAGCATCTCTGGAACGAGAAGATCATCCATTGCCATTCATACTCGAGATCAACTCTGGGATGCAATACAAAAAGTCTGGATCGAAATGGATAATGCATTTTTAACAAGTCTAATTGAAAGTATGGAGGAACGTATCCAAGATGTAATCAATGCAAAAGGTAGATACACTAGATGGTAAAGAATATTTAGAAATTCAATTTAATTTGAGGTAAAAATGGATTATTTTTATTTTTTAAGTTACAGATGAAAATAAAGTAAATATAATAATTCTTTTATATTTGGTGATTAAAATAAGCCTAGCTATGTATTGTTTAACGTCGTGTACGAGAAGTTATTGCGTTGCAAAATTTATCTATCAAGTGATGCATTACTTTTGAGCGCCACTGTACGTATACAATATAACTTCATTCATTGGCACAACCATTCGAATTGCATCTTTCTGCTAATAACCCACGTTCAACTTCCAGCCATAAATACAAAACCACATCATGTTCCTTCTTTAAATCCCACACCTGCAGGACATGTGATATCTCTTGTATTCTGCAAAACCGAAATCCACCATTTTCATGTCGATTTCAAGAACGTTCGTTGGTGGAATCATGCTTCACCAAACATAATTTCCACGCTTTTACGTAGTTCACTAGTAGTTTACATCGACCATATGATATCCCATGTATGCTACGTTTCGACCATTATGGCATAGCTGCCTAGACACAAACTTAGCAGAGTTGATGCGATGTGTGCAATAAATGTGTAATCATTCCAACAATTAAATATCCTCATCGACGTACTTCTCGCTCAAGTGCCAAATGAGCCGATATCTTAGAGAGTGATTATAACAAACGTTTATAAGCGAGGGCATCATTCACAGTTTTACAAATCTTTCGCTGCGTCGATGAGATCCAAATAATACCTTACAGTAAATACATGCATCACTGTTGGATATTAGTTCATTCTTAGCTTCCATTTGTTGATGATTCACTGATTGTATCAGCTCCCAATAATGCGAGAAAGATGAAGTTCAAACGTTGAGTCTCAACTTTAGTATAGTTTGATCGTTTAACATAACGATAAATAACCTGATTAGAATATTAGTGGTTGCGTCACATCGAACAGTTCACTTGGAGAATAAAATACTCTGGTTTTGGATGTTACGGTTTGGTTTGGTTCAAAAAACTATTAGTTACAAGATCGAAATGGTTTGGTTTCATGAAACTTGACCAATAGAATTACAGTTATATAAATTTTAACCAATAAAATGACAGCAACTAAGAAACTATGGTTTAACCATTAAGACCACCACCGTTGTATTTGGTTTTTGAATCAAAACATGATACCCGTTAATTGTTGTTTCGATGTACTAGACGGACTGACACAACTGATATACGTTCTATGTATAAGAATTGGTGTAAATTGTACTAGAATTTATAATACAATTCACACCGTTTCTATTGCACTTAGCCCAATTTATAACGAAATAATACCTGCGATTGGTCTCGGATTCCTCCTATCATGATCACCTGTTCGCTTCGCGCTAGGAAAGAGACAACCAAACTTTCCCTAATATAGGTATTCCCGTAATAACTTTCGGGCATGTAAGCTATATGTTAAAATATGTGATATTGTATATAGAAAGAAAACCCCGTATTCTATTATATTTTATTAATAAATTTCAATGCTGCTTCATTTCTTTTGCAAGCCACTGTATATTTTGGATATATAAATAATAAATTGGATTTTAGTAAATACAAAATTTAATTTTTAGTAAAGATTTTTATCTTTAATGCATGTGTTATAATTTACTATTTATAGATTCTAAAAAAAGATTATATTTTCAATTTTTACCATTATTAAATCTGAAGTGTCGAATGAAAATATCTTTTATAAATTTAAATAAATAATACAATTTAATTATATTTGATCAATCAAATTTTGAAATATAAAATGTTCTTTTTTTATTAATAATAAATAATTAATTATTTTTGGGATTTTTTATATTTATATTGTAATTTACAATATTTTTTTAATTAGATTAAGTATTAAACAACTTGAATCAATGGTTTAAATTCATTTTATTTTATATTAATACCAAATTGATATTTATCTATTTATTGTATTTTATTAAATGTTAATAAAAAATATTTAATAAAAAATTATTCGAAAATAGAAATTTTAATGCTTATTTTGATAGATCAAAATTCTTCTATTTTTGAAATTGGCAAGTTGATAAATCTTCCAACAAATTTAGATAAAATTAATATATGTAAACTATACATATTTTAAATTTTATAATAAAAAATTTACTTAATATGATTTGGTTACATTTGACCTGGCCAAATTATATTTGGACTTTAAGTTTTTCCATTTGGGATTTGGGTATCTGTTAGAAAAAAAATTTGTCTAGCAAGTTTATGCTTCCTTCGTTCATGTTTCTTTCAACACGAAACCTAAATTATCACAACCAACTAAATAAAATGCTCCACGTGGGACTTGAACGCCACATCTCCAAGTGTATTTAGGATCCAAACCCCAAGAGTTCGATTATAAATGAGATGTCATTATAAATCCTGATACAACAAATACTTATTTGTGTGTATTTATGATGGATTTGAACCTTGGGCCCTAAATAACTACTTGACGCTTTAGCCAGTTAAGCTAGTCGAGCTTTTTTTATCAAAAACGGGATTTTTACTTTTATAATTATTTTCATTAAAGCTTATCTTTTAATCTATCAATGTGTGAAAATTTGGTTTTATCACAATGATGTAATGTAGTAATCAAAGCAAAGGCATCATAAAATATATCTCAATAATAAAAATAAATAATAACAACATAAGCTTCTTGTGTCTTATTTCTATCTCATCTTTTTACCTTTGTGAATTTTATTGTGAAGAACGTAAAACAATTTAACTGTAAATTTTAGAACTATACAAAATATATCGATATATAAATAATTTTTCGAGATTCCCGATTTTGATTCTTATGGAAGATTCCGAAGAAGAATTTGATGAGCTGTGGGCAGACTACCGCGACACTGAGCCAGAAAGAAAAACGAAAAAACAGCAAAAGAAACATAAATTTAACAACAGCCATGAAAATACTGAAGAATCAGATGAGAATGATAATGAAAAAGTAGACTATTAGAATTGTATATGATCGTATGAAAATCATAAGATTAACATGACAAACTTTCAATTATCGTTATAGCAGTATCGTCCGAAAAAGCAACGAAAAATAATAGCTTACAAAGAGGACGAGCTTGACAACTTAAGCCCTGATCTCTCACCTGAACTCATTATTCAACTACCGCTACCGTCACCATCACTTACAGAAACCATTTTTGATCACGAATTACAACAAAAACAAGATGAGGACGACAACAATTTCATTCAATGGACTCGAGGAGATAATGAAATAATAGTGAGTGCGAATTAGATGGGCTAATTTGGCAAAACAGTTTTCCATCAAGACGTGATAGACTCATTTGATTAACAATTGAGATTAGAAATATTAATAATGCTAATGTTACTAATAACAATTATAATGACAATAATTATAAGACCACATTATGGCATTTACAAATAATGACATAATGGAAAATAATTTCACGAACATGAATTGATTATTTGAGATTGCAAATGTATTTTTAAAATCTTAACGTTAGAATTTATCACTTTAAGTGGTATACATGAAATTCACTATGCACCCTCATAAAAGGCAACATAATAAATAGGAAAAATGCTCATATGGGACATGCTGCAACAAAGTGGACATAAACACGAATTTCAAGAATCAAATTGTTAAAAAGTGTTTATCTTGTTTTTTGATGCGTAGTTTTTTTTATTATTCATGTAAAGTAAGTGAAGTAATCAAGAAAAGGGTATAAATTTAAACGGAACTTATTCTTTTTTCATTTAGATGCTTATTTGGAATATTTGAATAATATGAATTTGTACTCTGAATAAGTTTCTTGTTCAATACATGCACCTATTATTTTCCCTAAGAAAATATCTGAAACGTTAAATTAAATTTTTTTATAAATCTTCTTTCAAAGATATATTAAAAAAGAAGTTCTTAGCTGAATTGAAAAATAAATAAATCGATCGTTAGTTATTGAAAGCTAGAGAATTGAGTTTAATACACTTCACTTTTGAATTTGTCTTTTATATTTTGAAGTCTTGTTTATTTTATTTTGATATTCCTTAATTAAGTATATTTTTATCTCATAATTTTATTTATATAATTTATTCTTCTACAATAAATGACTGGAAATTCAAAAATCAAATTTTCTATTTTTTTAATAATAACTTACACCTTAGTATGTATTTTTCTTGGATTTAATTTGAAGGGTATTTCTGCTTTATAATTAAAAGACAAATTTAAAAATATTTATTAATTAATAAAATAGAAATTTTCAACATAGAGAAGTAATTTCAATTTTTACTATTTTTTTTTTTAATTTAATTTATTGTAGGGATGTGTATTTTAAACTAACAATTTTTTATTTTATATAATTGTTTATCAACTTGCATTCATTTACTTTAATTGTACCACTTTTCCGGTTTTAGAATTATACAACTGTGATTTGAAGAAGCGAGATCTAGCAACGAAATTTTCAAAACTATACATCAAAAATTTTTTAGGTGTAAACTTATGCAGGTCCTGTAAACCTATACAATCCTATGTTATAAGCCCATGCAAACTTATGCTCTGTAGTAATCTTGTGTCGGGCCTGTAAACTTGCGCAAACTTATACAAACTTGCACAAACTAATGCCATAAACCTACCCATAGTGTTTTGAGCGAAACTATTTTACAAATCTGAAACGTTTCGCCCTATAAATACGAAACTAACCGAAGTCATAATTTGGAGACATTTTGTATATCAAATTGGACGAAGCTAGTTTCGCCCGAAACACTACCTACACAAACATAGCACAAAAAATTTCTTTCATACCTTGGAAATTCCCATTAATAAGAAGCCATATACATTCTCACCTCGATATAATCACAATTTAAGAATAAACACCCTTTTTATTTACCAATTTATTATAAATATAAGAAATTTAACTTCTCTATATTCACTATCACCTTAGTCACACCCAATTTTGTTCCCCAACCCCCGTGACTATATCGAGGTGCGACTGTACAAGAACAAGACAAACAAACTTAATTTTATCATTCATAAATCACACAAGTCGTAATTGAGAACTGATCTGTGTTTCAAGAATAATACTTAACCATAGTCACATATGTCAAGGTTAGACGAAAGACCAGCCTCAAATAGGTCTATTTAGCAAGTCTTACATATACTGTCCATTAAATCAACAAAGTTATAATTATCCATGTATTGTCTTTAATGGCTACCTTAAGTATCTCCCGAGCTTTATCAGGCCCTCCATGTCAATAAATTCGTGAAAATAGGCGGTTAAAAGTTGCCGTGCAATGGCTATAATCCATCCATGTAAGAATAAAATAAGGTTAACTTATTCTTTCCAAGAATAATCGTCAGACACATTGTATGCGTCATGTATGAGATTCCGCAGTTGAAAACATCCGCTTACGATAGCATCTTGGTGTATCAGATCAATTTTAGTACCATTTTCAAAGTAAATATTAAAGACCATCACATTGTCAAGGTGTTCCTTCAGCTCTAGGTGGTTATTAAATAAATAGTCGTATTGAGATTTGTCTCTTCCAGTGCCATATTGATTTTGTCTAGCCTTCCTTTTTATATGTATGATAGTATTCAATACAGAACTTTGAATTTCTCGATGTTTTTAATAATCCTTCTGTAATTCGGAAGACTAGTCACCGGGCAAATAAGGCGTTATGTGATAAATGAATGAATGGACTAATGGATATAGAGGAAGTAATAACGATAATAGAAAAAGTATCGATAAGCCAGAAAAATTTCAAAAGTCTGCACATTAAATAGGTCCAAATGGTGCGGCTTCTGCACATAAATTTGTTAGATTTCGTTCCATATCGATATAGTGTTAAAAAGATATTTATCATTAAAAATCACAAGCATAAAAGTTTTTATTATAGCCAACCAATCAATCAAGCTTCATTCATCATCATTAATCATGACAGTATTTTCTCACGCTTCCAATGAACAGGATTCGAATATTCTTTTTCGCTATAAATCGAACCTGATTCCTTTTTGGACTATAGTTTTTATCTCGAAAATCATTAAACATTCAGTCTGTTCTTGCCCACCATATAATCCGTTTCTTTTATTCTCTTTCTTTTTCCAATTGAAAAAATGACGGATAGTCCTGCTGATAGTAAACCGGTTACAATAAAACATGAAGTTAGCGACGACGAAAAAATGGATTCGGATGAAGTTTGTATGAGTTTAGTATAATGCTATTTATTATAATAATAATCATAATAATAATAACCGTATTATTATTGTTATTACCGTATCTTTGCATGCAGTCTGAAGAACAACAACAGCAACAAAATCCATCACCAAAAAAACGCAAATACGAATCAAGATCCAAATCAACAGTTTCTACCACGACAGCTACCAAACCCAAAAAAAAAGAAAAAAAGAGTGCTACAAAAAACCAGACAAAAGCTAGCACCACTACCACGTCCAATGAAGCTCCTCCAAAGGAACGAGCAAAATCAAATCCTTGGACTCCGGAAGAAGATCGTCATCTTTTTGAGGCAGTCGCCAAAGACGTGAATTGGGGTGAGATTGCTAAAGAGATTTTTCCGGATAGGAATCGTCAAGCGTGTCGCGCTAGATGGTTGACTTTGATCAAGAGAATCGAGAGAGCCTCTACTGTTGTTGAAGGCGGAGCCAAAGATAAAATTAGTGATGAATGATGAGTTTGACCTTAAAATCTATAATTCTTTAAACTTCGGAAAAATTTAAATATTCCTATATTCTAAAATTCTTTCTAATATACCATGTAAAAACAATAACAATCCATAAAACTTTTCTTTGGAAACGACTTCCATCCATCTCTTCAAATTTTTCTTACCTTTGCAATTTGATTAAATAAAATGTAGCAGTTCCAATGAATTGTTAGTATGTATGATATGCATGACAATACTATGACGACAAGATAAAGCATCATAGTTGACTATATGTAATTAATTCTTGAAATATTGTCATTATAATTTATATTCATATAAATGATGAAAAGTTCGATCATTTGAAATATTGTCATTATAATTTCTATTTATATAAATGATGAAAAGTTTTGATTGAAAATTTTCTGCAGCTCGTGCACCATTAAGTATATTATTATTGGCATAATTCAAAATTATAATTTTCCATGTAAATTTATTTTCCTTAAAGAAAAAACATGGTAATTTGAATATCGCTTCCATCAAACACATGCTTCACACTTTCCCTCACAAAATCCAACGATAATTTATCAATCCCCGTCCCAATTCGCGGCATACACAACCCTTTCACACCAAATTTCTCACAAACATGTCTTAATTCAATCAACCCACGCATAAAATTCTCGCATGTCGGATATTCGTTCACACGTCGTTTCGTGATGATGTAGAACAGGTAACGACCATCACGATTCAAATAGGCGACTTGCCCGACTTTTTTTCGTTGTGATTTGAGCTCTTTGATGCTGTTGAATCTGTTACGAAATTCTCGGGCGATTCCGCCACCCATGTTAAAGTCTTGTGAAACACAGTGGACGAGAGCGTTGGTTGGTGGTGAGTCGGTGAACAAGTCTCCTTGGCGCTCTTGAAAGTTTGTGCATGTTTTTTTGTTGGTGTTGTTGTAAAGTGTAGAAGGAGATTGTTGGAAGAGAATTGGCGCAGTGGGAAAATCATTATTGGATGTAGAGTAATTAAGTGTATCGGTATCATTACTTTCATTATTAGTAGTAATAACTGTTGGTTTTGTAGAGAAAAATTTATATAAAACATGGAACATTTTTATTTTGTGGAAATATTTTTGGATTGTCTTAGAAAGTTTGGATGCGAACTTACAGTGTGATAAGAAAAAACTTGATCTTTATCGCGATAGTCTTATACTAAACGGCGGAGTTTGTGTAACATGAGGTACATAATACATGTACGTACATGTGCATGTTCACTCGGTGAACAAAAGTTTGGAATCGGGAAATGATCAACAATATAGATCATGATATTTTGGAATACATGTATTTTAATTTAATATTTCTCTATCTCTTCATAAATAAACTACAATAAAATATATATTATTTTATTCAGGAAAAGTAGGACTTTTTATACATATTTTTTAATATCGAATTGGATATTCATTTGTCTCAATTAAAGCTTGTACTCTTTTTAGCATACTTTCAACCAAATTTTTTAAAACTTCTGGTTCAATTATTTTCTATTTCTCTATAAGTACATTCATCAATTCTTCTAGATTTCTGGATAAGTTGAATATGCATGAATTTGTCTTTTCAAAACATCTCACAAATGCTCAATTGGCTTTAGATCAGAACTCTGAACAAATTATAAAAGTGAAATTATTAAATTTTTCTCTTTTCGTAAACTAAAGTATTATCATCTTGAAAAAAATGAACAGAACTAGCTGGCAAATTATTTAGAAGATTTTGTTCTATTATATTTATATACTTTGAACCAATTATTGTGTCATTGATTTTGATTAATAATTCAAATATATTTTGAGTAAAACATCCTCATATATTACTTATTAATTATCTGATTTTATATTAGGAAGAAGTTAATCAATATCACATTTTTCATGTAATCTGTGCCAAACTCATTGTTGTAAATCATTTTGAAATATTAGTATTTTGATTCATTATTTCAAATTACTAATTTAATCTTTTTTTAAATATTACTTTACTTATTTTTAACAACTTTTCTCAGATATAAAAGATTTTTTCAATTTAATCTAATTATATAATTCTAATTTCATAAAGAAAAGATTATATAATTTTGAAACTAATAATATAAATATTTGATAACTTTAAATGTTATGCACTATAATAATATTAAATTTTTTAGTAATTTTGTTAACTATATATTATTAATCTTTTTTAATAATATTAATTAATTTTTGAATAACTTTAATATTTAATTTTTATAATTTCTTATTCTGAATGGCAACTGTAATTTAATCAAACTTTTTGTAATTATTAATAAAATTATGAATAATAAATTTGAATTATTCTAAATAATTTCAATTACTTTTTCAAAAAAATTACATTTTCAAGCGCTAATTATTTTATCATACTCAAATTTATAAGTTGTTAATTTTAACAAATATTGATTGAATTTGATATCAATTTTTTAGTTTATTTGAAAGTTTTAAATTTTAGCTTTTTAATGAACTAATGTATATTATACATAATTTTTTCTAATTTCATAATAAATACTTAAAATTATTTCTTAATCATATTAATTATTATCTAATTTCAGATTTTTGTTCACTGAATATATGATACTAGAAGTTTATACTCAACAATCACGTGATTTTGTTTCAATTTTTATCAAAAATTTAAATTGGACGAAAAAGTTGATTTATAGTACTTTGTGATAAAATCACGTGACTTTATTACCAATAAAATTTAAGCACGTAATAACATAGAAAATTTTCCGCATAGAACATGTAATTTCAAAAAAAACAGTTTTTCTTTTTATTCTCATCTTTCTTCTCACCCTCTTCACTTCCTCTTACTCTTTTTATTCTCATCTTCTCTTTCTATTCTCATCCTCCATTATTCTCTCAATTATTTTAGACAAATGATGATATAATTTAAACTTATTGATGATCCACTTTGCAGTTCTACCTTCTAACCCTTTATTATATACATTCATGTATTTTCATGACTTGCACACGAATTTGCAAATGACCATTATTGAAATCATAATGAGAGCCTCTAGAACTTGTTTTAATAGATCTGCATAATTATAGTTGCATAACCTTTTGGTTTTCCACTTCACAAAACTCCAGTATCACTCTATAAAGTTGTACTCACAATAAAACTTTGGATATCATTCAAAAATATGTCCTATTTCGATAATTATCTCCTTCAATATTGATCGTTGTTCACAAAAATCAGGTTGTAGTGACATAATTCATCATGCACAGCAGTCACCCTTTCAGAATTATTATCATTATGTTTTCTAGAGCACTATTCACACACCAAATGAACTCCTTTCATCAATCAAAGGTTGCGCTCTTCAAGTACTTGCTTTATATCTTTTGGTTACTCTCTTAATCTCTCTACTGGATAATTATCTGGAAATATCATTGATTGTACAAAAATCTCTCCATGTCTGTTGACATACCAGCCATTACACATCTTACATTGTGAATTACCAGAACTAAGGTTACTTGCCAAAATCTCTTAGTGACTGCTGAAATTCTGTCAAAATTATAATAAACTATTAGTAAATAGCCCGTCAAAATTCTAATGAATTTTGAAACCTGTCATAACTGAAATTATGTCAAAATTCTAATTAACAATTAGTGTGTAACCTATTAAAATTATGATGATATTTTTCTGAAAGGATTTAGACAAGCATCCTTAACCAGAACTCAATTTCATTCTTGTTGCAATCAATGCGTCTTTGCTCATAGTGTTATAATTGATTGATTGATCAAAACTAAAAAGCCAACACATTCAGGATGCAATATCTCAAATATTGGAATTGTCTTACGCACAAGCTGATTCAACATGTGCTCTGATTTCTAATATCTGTTTATTTGTACAGACTGAAGAACAAAAGTTTTTTTATTCTCAATATGTGGGTTTATCTGTAGCTACTCATTAAATAGTTATAATAATCCATAATATGTGTAAAGAAAAGCTAATATCATAATGGAGCATCCCAAATATTTAGGATATAAAATGTTAGCTTTTTCTCAGATCCAGATTCTCTGTCATCCATTATTTGTATAAAAGTGACATTCATCATGTGTCACTTGTACGAACTTCTTCTCTCCTGGCTCAAGGTATAATTCTAATATAATGTTCAGCATATTATCATCAAAATCTTTCATATACTTCTTATATTTAAACATTCTCTTTAATCAATTTTTTCTATATATTACTATATCTGATTGCTTATGTTCATCATAGTAAATACCTTTTCTTCTTTCATTATATCTATACCCCCACAGATACATGTAGTTTCAGTATGTTTTCTTAGAAATTATGTCTTTTCTAATGTGCTTCATCATTTTTGGAAACAATATTTTCTTGATATATGTCTTTAGTGTTCTGAACGATCATAACTCTGATACTTGCTCCCATAATTATGCTTGATAGTCTTTCATGAAATTTTCATTATCAAGTAAACTTTTCAATTTTGTATGCATCCCTTGGTAGTAAACAAAAAGCTCTTCTATTTTTATAAAAAAATCTTCCCATTTCCAAATATATTTTATCATATAGTCACCCTTATTTCATATAGTCTGTGCAATCTGATTACTAGCATTTATTTTGCTCTCCTCCTCTAACAACAATTATATATATTTTTGTATACTCAGAAAGTGCAAATAATCATATGTAAAAATTTAACTATTTTCTTTATGAGACTTTGTTACAAAGCATCATTGATTAATTTCTTTCAACTATTTGTGTAGGTTTGTTACAGTATTAACAGATAATGATGAAATTTGTATGACTATCTGAGGTGAGATTTGCGTGATTATTAGAGGTAAGATCATTGAAGGTAATAGGAAAATAATAGTTAGCTTTTGTTTAAAAAATATATCAAGCTTTTTCATTTCATTTTCGTATTCTTCTTGCTTTTTTTTTCTTTTTTCAGTTTTCAATTTGTTGTTCTTGAAGTTCCAGTATATACTGTTTTAAGACTACTCCCAGTTCCCTTATGCCAATGGAGAACTTCATGGATGAATCTCTTTTTCACCTCTTCAAATTCTCTCAATTCTTATTCTCATCATTTTTCAAGAACTTCTTAAATATTGACAGCATCCTCCCATTCTCCAAGAACTTCTTGAATATCAGCAGCACCCTCCCATTCTCCAATGGTTTCTTGAATGGCAACTCTCTTCCATTCTTTAATAACTTCTTCCTGAAATACAAAACAACCTTTTTTCCTAGATAATTTACTTACCTGCTGTTGTCTCTTTGTATGTAATGACATTGTTAATGTATTAATAGATGATCATAAAGAGCATATGATTAATAATTAATGATCAATAATAAATGTCTTTGTTTTAATTCAAGCTGAAACATATTTGATCTGAATTATAATTAATGTCAACCAATAAAATCAATTTCATATAATAAAACCAATTATATAATTTGTTTCAATTTTAAGTGAAATATATATAAAGTATCTAATTTTAAATGTCTATAATTTTTTATACAGAGATTTTTTTAAAATTCTGACCAGTAATTTAATAGAGCTTATCTTAATAAACAATATTACTGATTTAGTTTTTTTAAATTTTATCTTAATAAAATGCTGATAGATTTTAAAGATACACTATTTTCATTATTGAGTATAAACTTCTGGCACCATATATAATTATTCTTATTTTTTATCAAGATTTTTGAATAATTATTTTTTATATTTTTTTTATATTACTTCAAAATTTTCAATCAGATTGAGATCTGAATTATTATATTATATTTACATATTTATTTTTAAAAGTAAATAAATATATCTAATTTGCTATATATAAGTAATATAAAATATAATTATTTAATTTTATAAGATATTTTCTAAGTGTATATAAGTTAATAATTTTTTTATATGTTTTAATTATAAAAAAATTATTAATTATACAATTTGAAAATGTTATAAAATTAAATTTAAAAAATCTGAAAAAAATATATATTAAAATATATATTAATATTTTTATTTTAATAAAAAATATTTATTAACAAAATTAAAATTTTTATATAAAAAAATTTATATTTTTCATATTTTTTTATTGTTACTATAAAAATTTTTTAT